ATACGTAATTAATAGTTCCTATTGTAATTAGATAACGGCTGTACTGTATAGTGTTAATGCGCGGTTGCGAAGTTTACCATTGCAAATTTATGTAATATACAAATATAGTTTAAAAAACACAGTTTACATCTTTCTCATAACCAATTTTACATTTTTAATTCAGAAAATTATTAATAGTTCAGTTCCGTATTCAAAGGAACCCTTTTAAATACATATTTATTAAAGAGAATTTCACTATATAAAATTGGCTTTATATTACCAATATTAGGTATATATAAATGTATGCACTTATAAGGGGTATGAGAAAGGTTTCTCTTTGTATCTTTTCTCTCATGGTTGAATGAATTTTGGACCTTTTAAATTATAAAGCTGGTTGACTTGGCCCGTATTTCATGCAATATTCAAAGAAAATTTTTCAACAATTTTTTTATTTAAAATTATATACTCAATTCAAATCTGTGCGACTCACTTTCTGATCCTTATATTCAAAAAGGAGTGCTTTTCTAAACATGTTTCTCTGTTTTTCGTCATTCGTCAATTTGCTTTCTGAAGCTATAATCAATCAAAGAGTATGATGAGCAAATAAGCATTGTAAACAATTAAATTTACTCACTTACATCCTAATACAGATAATAGTTCTCTTTCCCTGATGAATGGAATTTTAATAATACCGTTTTCATCAGTACTAAACGTTTTAGGATAAAATTCTTCAATACTAGGGTCATTCATAAGGCTCTAAATAAAATCCTGTTAAAAACTTATATAACATTCATATTTATGAAAATTTTTATTGAACGAATTTTTTATACCTGATATGCTACTGGTAAAAGTCCTTGACTTTTAATAGGCAAAACAAACATCAATTGTTCGAAAGGTTTATAATAATCTTGATCTTCAAAATCTTCGAAATTTGTTTCATTAATTTCCAAGGCTTGCAAATCTGAAATCATGTTACTAAATTATAATTATTCTATATCGATATTATTCATTTATTAATCTAGGACTTGCCTGATATAAGTGGTGAATAATATTCAGGATAAAACCATCTATAAGATTTTAGCGTTCCTTCGTAATAAGAAAGCACCCATTGTAACCCTTTAATGTAGGAGTTAATTAAATTTTCTCGATATTGGTTCTCTTTAACCATCATCTTGTTGTGATAATACACTTCCTTCCATTTAAGAAATATCTTTTCTTCATTATCATTTTTTGCTTCGATGGTTTTATTTTTCTCCAAAATTTCCAAATAATCTATATATCCACCTCTAGACT